GATTGAATCGTAAGCGCGCCGGTGAAGACCCACAGACAGGCAACCCAATGCACATTGGGGTACTCTGTAACAATGGCCCTCCCCGCTGTGCCACCCTTGGCCGCAATCCATCAAGCCGGCTCTCAGCGCTGCTTCCTTGCCATGCCTCATAGGGCACTTACATTGCACCCCTCGCCCTAGGGCTCAGTGCTGGTCTGGGAGGACTGACCAAGAAGACAACCTGAGCGCAAGTCTCCCCACCCCCCTCGGCTGAGTCACCACTCTCCCAACCCACCCAGGTGTAGGGTCAAGAGAAGTGATCAAGTTTTTTCTGCCCTTCGCCATTAGCATCTGTGAGTGACACCTGTGGGCTTACACGCAGCCTCGATGGTGGCGCCTGGAGCGTGCAGTGTGCATGCATGAGTGGGCACACCCAGGCCAGAGACTGAGCATGTGAGGGCGGTGGCACAGAGGTGCAGAGGCACAGAGAACAAGAATGTGGTAGTGGGGGCCGTGAGAGAATGCCAGAGAGCCCAGAAAGAATGTAAAACCCACCAGGGGCTGGGAGGATTGGCAGCCTCCCGCCTTCTGACACCCCTGCCTGCCCTGTGCCTGCTTGCCTCACTGCAGATGGTGTAGAAAGATCATTAAAAGCCTGAAAAAGCCATTGAGGGCTTCAGGACTCTCACCCATCTGCCCCAATCCATGGAGAACTTTCCCTGTGCCTTGCTGTTATTTCATCAGGTCACCACAGTCAACCCACTTTTCTCTGCCCACAGCTATCCTCATCACCCCCTCTGCCCATCAGAATCTTTAACTCTCTCATGCAATAGAGCTGGGGCAGTTTTGCAAGTAAGCACAGGGTGGGGGCAGGCTCACTGTCAATTCAGCAGGAGAGTCTGGAGCCCTCAGGGGACTTCACAAGCTTTCATGCTCTCGGGGAACTAGGTACCCAGGCACACCAGGCCGGGATGCTGGCATCAAGGAGCCAGGTGCAGGCCAGGCAGGGAGGCTGGCAGACTGTCAGGGGATGGGGATGCCCAGGAGGCAACAAGCCTCCCAGCCCCTTATGAATCTGCGCTTTTGTTCTTTGGCCGCTCTGGTGTTGTCTGTTGGCTGGCCTCATTGTGTTCCTCCTCACTGCGTGTCCCCCCCACCCCCACCTTCAAAGCTCTCCTTGAGGCACAGGAGTAAGCACTTACACATGCCCACACCTGTGTTTTTGGGGTGCAGGTATCCAGAATCCTAGGCAAGTGTGCCTTGTGCCCTCGGCCCCCGGCCCCAGGCATTCATGCCACCCAGGAGTGCAAGTCCACAGGTGGTAGCTGGCTACAGAGGCTATTGGGGGGGGGCAGAAAAAAGCCTGGTAATTTTGTTTATCCTACAGGTATAGCTACATCAGAGCCCAAGAGATACCTCAGTGCTGAAGCCTGAGGTGAGCAAGGCTCAGGATGATTCATCAACTAGAGCTGCTTCCCACAGATGCCTCCTTCATAGCTCTTCTGGAAAGCAAAACAAGCTGCACATCTGTTTCTCTCCCCACTTTCCCACCCCCAGTTCCCTACCTAGATTTCTGCACGGAGGTGCTGACTGTCCAAATCCATAATGAGGTGCTAGCACCATAGGTGTGGGAGCACTACCCTTGTCCAGACAGCCCCCAGAGGCTGTCATTCGTCTCCTCACATCACCTCCGGCTTGTCACTGTCTCTCTTGAGCTCAGCTTCCCCAGCAGTGAAGTGCAAAGTCAATCTCTAAGGTTGTTCATATCTGACATTTTGGACAAGGATAAAGAATGGATTTCTAGTCCTTGGAAGAAAGGGGTTGACAGAGTTGGGGTCCCAGGAGAATAGACTGTGGTTGACCCAAAGCAAAGAAGTAAGCTGGAGTTGAGTAGAAGGGACGAGCTAGAGGAGAGGGCTGGTGGGGTGTGCAGGAGGGATCTGATGGGTGCACAGCCATCCGGTGTCTCCCTCTGTGCTCAGCTGAGGGAGCATCTGAAGCAGAATGGGAGAATGTGCCGCAGTGGGGAGGCAGCACTGGCTTCTCCTGTTTCTAGAAAGCCCACCCTCTAGAGGTCTTTGACCCCTGACACTGAGTGGGAGTCTGGGGTGATGACAAAGGTCCACGAGGGCGGTGTCCATGGTAAGGACAACCTACTGGGAGGAAGGAAGAAAGGATTATTCACCAAGAGGAACTTTTCCATTCCCCTTGACTGCGTGGGAGGGAGTCCCCAGGAATAGAAGGTTCTGAGGAATAGTTAACTCTGCTCCCCACACTGGCACACCGGAACTTTCCTTTGTATGCCCCCAAACAAGGCCCCTGCCAGGCCTGGTGCTGATGAGTTCCCAGCACTGCTCCACGTGAGCAGCCCTGGCTCCAGGCCCAGCATTTAGAATGTAAGCTCCAGCCAAATGCATTCTTTTCCCCGGGAACTTCCAAAACTGCCTCACAGTGGGAATTTCCACTCATTTTTCTCACTGTCATACTTACCTCCCAGCGAAAGGGATTACCTCTTCTTGATAGCAGGAGTTGGAGAGGGACAGCTTCTGTCTTCCAGCAGACTTTCTCTTCTGATTCATAGACTTTTGCCATCAGTTGTCATCTGAGGTCTGGAACTTTTAGTGAACAAGTCACTTTCTCAAAAAACAGTGCAGAATCAGAGCCTCGGATCCTCAAAGACCCAAAGTCTGTCCAAATGCTCAAAAGAGCATTTCTGCATGGCCATGAGACAGTGATTTCTCTTCCTGGGATATGTTTTCCTCCCATTTAAAAGAGGAAGTTGTGCGACCCTGTCCCTCCAGGCCCAGTTTCCAGGATATTACGAGAGACCAAATCTCTCCTAAGAAGTGGCTGAATACTGAATGGGAAGCGAGTAGTTTAAAGATCGTTGTCTTTGAACTTGTTTACCTAGACAAAAGCCAAGGAGTGATTGGATTCCATGAGGAAATGAGATACATCCTTCCAGGCCCACAGAAAAGGCGCCCTAATGAATCTGTCAAGATGAATAAAAACTTCCTAGGGGTTAAAGCAAGATGGTCAGGAAGAAATGAGTGAAGAGGTTCAAAATCTACTCCTGAAGCAGTGCACCCACTCAGTAAGAATGGGTTCAGCCACTGCAGAGCAGTTAGCCGAGACTGCAGAATGGCTAGGGTGGGGAAGGGGGTGGTGGGGGCGTGAGGGGGGGTGGGGGTGGGGTGGTGAGGAGGGTAAGGTAAACAGTAAGAGTCAAATGGAAAGTGACACAAACAAAGCAGTGCACGAGTTGATTTGTCCTCACCCTCACTTTTGAAAGGACACTCAGGTGTTCTGGAATGAGCCCTCCATAGAGGTTCTGCCTTCATATTCTCTAGGAAAACACTGCCAAGGAGAGGCCATTAAGCACAGAGCCCGAGAGTGGGGATTCTGGCATCAGAGTCATGGGGAGCTCAGCCTGAGCTGCTATCACCTGTAAGGTTCTGGACAGCTGTGACCTTTCATTGTGACCTATGGAAAGTTGGGTTGTGTGCAGGACTAACCAGGCAGTGCCAGCAGCAGCTTGGAATTTGTCTGGCCATGGATAAGCACTCAATAATACCTAGGCCTTTTCTTTGGTGTTCCTGCCATCTCTCTATGAATCAGACACAGTGACGGCCAAAGATTCCTTCCAAGACACTTCATGCATTTTATAGACAGTGCTTGAATGACTCTTTAATAAAGAATAGTTACTGGATTTTCCTATTTCCCTCGGGTCGAAGCACAGCAAGCAGCATGAGGCAGTGGTTGAGGGAGTCAAAACACATCAATTCTAGGTTAAGCTCAGTCACTAATGTGCCTCAAGGAATCTTATCCTATGTGTGAAAGGAAAGAATGTAATGAAACGAATGCTCAGTTATTATTACTATGATTTATAACTACATGTCGTGGCTTCAGAGGCAGCTTACGGCAGTCAAGCAAGAGCAAGCATTCTAATACCCGAAACACTGTGCCTCTTTGCTCCTGGCTCCCTGGCAAACAGAGAGCTGGGGAAGAGCTGCCAGAGAAGGAGACACGCTTCCCACCCACCGCTGCCTGCTGCGCTGACCCAAGCTCCAGTCCCATGGTGACTGATTTACACAAGGAAATTCTCACTCCCTACTAGGTGCCTGCTGGTCTGGGAGGTGGCTGAGGACAGTGAGGAGCTGGCTAGATGGCCAGCAGCCAGTTGGAAAACAAGGGCGCATTTCACACCAAAGCATGTTGTAGTGATGACAGTGTAGACAGACCCTGGATTCTGCTCAAGCACCTTGCATGGGTTACACCATCTTCGGTGACTTCCTTGTCTTATCTGTCAGGTAGGGGTTAGGAACACCTACCAAACAGGGTTGGGAATGAAAAGGGGAACATTTGTAAAGGGCTTTGACTCTTTCTGGCACAGCACAAGTCCTGTGTGAGCATTTCAAGGAATTTCTTTGTAGCACACCATGGTCTATATGGCTTCTTTGTGATATGTAGAATTTGTGCTACAGTGCTACAGTTCTCCTAAACTTCAGTAGTGCCACCACTCTGTGTTGGAGAGAGCAGTTGGCTTTAATGTGCTGCTGGGGAACCCACCAAGACTTCAGGGTCCCTTCCTGACTTGAAGGATAGTTGGGCTGTTCCCTGAAATTTGAGCAAGGTGACCCCGGAGATGCTTTCATATCTTGTGAGCTCTGGATCCTTGCTTCCTTTCATTTCTGTGGTTTCTTTCACTTCCAAGAAAACAGAATCCTTAAAAATCCCTGGCTTGGTTCTTATCTGTGGTCATGTCATACATAACTACTGAGTTCCATTCCTTTTACTTCTTTTCAGCAGTGAATGGAAGGAGTGTCCAGTCCTGGCTCTCTACTACTTCCCTCTCCTACTTCCTGGAAATGTCCCAGGATGCTACCCTTGCTCAGCACATTCAAGATTCGAATTCGTCATTCCAAAGATGCTGCCCTGGGCCAAATTTTCAGTCATTGCCCCACCCCTTGACTTGTATAAAAGGCAGAGACAGAGCCTCCAGGCAGAGAGGCAGACAAACAGGCAACCAACCACCTCAGGCTGCAGCTGCATCCTCACTCTCCAGCATGAAGGTCTCCGCAACCCTCCTGTGCCTGCTGCTCATAGCTGCCACCCTCAGCACCCAGGTGCTCGCCCAGCCAGGTAAGCCCTTCTCTGCTCCTTTGAATGCATCACCTCATTCCTGGGTTGGCACAGGCCACCAGAGCAGAAGGGGTGCCCAGCCTCACTCTGACCACTGCTTAGCCAAGCCCAGGGCAGCGTGTCAGCCTGCTCACACAGCTCTTGCTGGGCAGCTGGACAAGAGTGTTGACTGTGCACCCCAAATCTGGCTTCTTCCCGGGCTCCAACTCTGCACCCTCAGGGCAGGGTCTGGTCTGGCCCTGTTCAGCAGGGTCTGGGAACCCGGGTGATCCAAGACAGGGAGCCTGTGGTAGTGGGAGTGAGGGGCATTTTCTGCAATAGTGAAGGGCAGGGAAGAGACCCAGAATCTGGACAGTGCATCATTGAGAGCAGCAGCTTCCAGAGACCAGGCTCCGCAGAGGAAGCAGGTATCATCGAACTATTTGTCCAAACGAGATTGCTGAGAGTCCAGCAACAGTCCAGAGCTGGATTCCCTGTTCTGATCTCCATAATCTTGATAATTAGCTCCTAATGACTCTCCCAAGTGTTATTGATTTTAACAGTTACCTGTCCTCTGTTTATTCTCATGTCATGTACCCATTTTACAGGACAGGAAACTGAGTCCGTACAACATTTCTAACTCTGGGGCAAAAAAAATTGGGATAGAACGGGTTTTACCCCTCCTCCCTTTGCCTTCTCATTACTCTGAATAAGTAACTTTTGCTCTGATTAAGATATTTAAGAAAATCTACCAAATGCCAACATGCTTTTTCTTGTATTTCATTTCCAGATGCAGTTAATCTCCCAGTCACCTGCTGCTATACTTTCACGAGCAAGAAGGTCCCATTCAAGAAGCTGGCGAGCTACGGAAGAGTCACCAGCAGCAAGTGTCCCAGAGAAGCTGTGATGTGAGTTGAGCTTATCATCACCACCCAGCCCCCTGGTCCAGTTTCTAAGCCTCCCCAATGTAGATAGAGATCTACCAGCATCCTAAAATGCCCTGTGGGAATCCAAAGACTGCCAGAGAAAATGTGCCTCTAGTCCTTGTCCCCCACCTGGGTATGACCATTCTATTTAGCCTGAAGGCAGGAGCTTTCCCCTAGGGGCCTCCTCAGAGCTGCTCTGGCCTCTTCCCTCTGCCTTTCCCTCTAGTACCCCAGCAAGCTTCTCTGGGCAGAACAGGCTGAAACCAGAATCTTAATGGAATTCCATCTAATTGTATCCTCTCCTGCCTCAGTTTCAAGACCAAACTGGATAGGGAGATCTGTGCTGACCCCGAGGAGAAGTGGGTGCAGGACTATATGAAGCAATTGGATAAGAGAACTCCAACTCCGAAGCCTTGAACACTCACTGCCCAGAACTCCAGAGGATAATTTATTGTCTTCTATCATTCCCTGTATACCCTCTGATATTTTATTATAGTTATAAATAGTATATCTTTGTTTACTGATGTAAAACACAATATCTTAAGTAATGTTAATGTTATTTAAGTTATTGATGGTTTTATTTTATCTTCCATGAATACTAACATTTGTTTGAGGAAGACTGGCTCTCCTCTGTGAACCTCAATTCTGCCCCAGGATGGTGCCAGGCACTGATAAGGGCCATTAGTGCAGTTTTGTTTTACATTTTCAGGCATTTTTGAAAGTGATAATGTAGAAATGTTTGTATTATGTACCTAATAAATTATATATATTTTTTGTATAAAACCTGACTTTTGGTGTTTTCTTGAAGGATATTGAAAAGCTGGGTAAGCTAAGTGATGGGGGTGGGGGCATGCCTTCAGGGCTTGGGGCTTTGTTTTTGGGAAAAATAAGAATTGAATCAGCCCTTGTTTCTCCTAGAAGGTGGGTTCATCTGAGATCCTAAAGAAAGAAATTTAAGGCTGGACCCAAACAGGCATGAATCACAATCACCCATCTGCAGCACAACACCCAGATCTGAACTATGCTCATCACCTGTTAGCAACAGCCCAGAATCCTACCTGAAATAATCTAGTTCAACTACCCACCCCCAGCCTCTTTCCCTGCAATAAATCTTCTGATGAGGGATAATAAAGACAGAGCAAACATCGGGAAATCGGGAAAGGACTTAACGACTATTGATAAGTTGGTTAGATTGAGATTTCATTTGGAGAATAAGACTTGAATTTATCCTTGACAAATGGGTGATATTTTCCTCTAAAATGGCAGGATCACTAAGAAAAGGAGAAGGAAAGTGAGAACAAATACTTAGAGATGGTCGCTTGCACATTGAAGAGTGGGAAAAGCAATCAGATTATGTCCATGTTGAGTGATGGGCGACTTTAGAAAAGAAGGTAAAGGGGCAGTGAGTGCCAGGATGGTAAGTTAGTACCCAGCTCCCCAGGCTGAAATGTGTGGGCCAATGAGGAGGAATACAACATATTTTGATTTTCAGGGAACGTGAAATCATTGGCTTGTGCAGACCTGCAGAATCGAGAAGGTCTTGGTTCAGGTGAAGGTGGTAAGGGCTTCAATATGATGCCCAAGAGATGGCCTTGAAGAAAAATGAAACAGGCAGTGGAAATACTGCATGTGTAGATGGAGGACGACCTGAGATCTGATACAAAAGCCCTTTCCTCAATCTACTTTTTATAGGGATGGTTTCCCTGAAACTAGAATGAAAGTTCTCTCCTTCGCTATCCCCCAAGAGCCTGAGGCCATCCATTTGGATGGCAGGGTCTCTTTCCTGGAGGTCCACCTAAGAGATTCCCTGGAAGGATATTGACCCACTTGGGAGGCAGTTGACCTGCGAGCCACAGCTGACCCCTCTCAGAAGGAAAGCTTATCCATTGCACAGCTGAATAAATTCTGCAAGTTCTTCCTCTTTCTTGTGGGGG